AATGGTAGTTGTTAGTAATATTATAATAATTAACTTGAAGAAAAATCCATAGAGGAGAAGGTTTCAGAGTATAGGATTTCCAGAATGTAGAAGATGTTGTCATCCTGAAAGGTCACAGATGATAATGAAGGAGATGGTACAATAAAGGGATGTATGTGAAAGTACTTTATACATTTATACATTTTGGCCACTATTTATTTACTACCATTACTAAAGAGGAAAAAAGTAATAATGTGCCTCAGATGGAAATCCACAGAGGATGACAATGAAAGATTAGTTTGGAGAGATAAAATAAGAAAAAAAATTTTAAAAAGATAAAAATTTAAAAAAATATAAAATGAGAAATAAGAAATAAGAAAAAATGAAAAGGGCCCTAAATAGCAGATTGAATAATTTGATGTTCTTTCCATAAATAATTCATTTATTCTATTTTAAAATCATAACTAGACACTGATATGTAACAGTATCATTTTACTAACATAAAGAAGTGGATTGCCAAATTATACCACCCCCCAGCTCCCTTCCCCTGATCTTTTCACATTTATTTACCATTATTCCCCAACATAGTTCACCTATCATTACTTTGTTCTCTTTTCTTTTACTTTTTCCTCTTTACTCTACTTGGGCCTCTTTCCATTAATTCTCATCTTCCAGATTTTGATTTCCCTCTCTCTTTAAAAACAAACAAACAAACAAACAAACAAAAACTATATCCTTTCAAGTTTCAATATATTCTTCTTACAAACTAAAGAAACAAGAAGATGAAAACAAAGATTCCAGAGGAAGGACTGCCATCATCATCACAACATCTGTAGCTCCTGGCTGGAACTGTGGTACAGATGTTACCCACTGGAGAAGGAGGACTAAATCCAAAAGACTTTGTGGAGAACACAATTAACATATGGAGAGAGAGGGCAGCAAAGAACTGGGGAAGTCAAAGATAAGTTCAGATTGTGGGCCCTGAAGACCAGAAGAAAACTAGGGATGGTGCCAGGACTATGGATAATTGAGAGAAGAGAAAGAGTATATTTCAGCCAACTAATTTTGAGGTGATTCAATGCTACCCAGTTAAAGAGAATTGGATAATAGCAAAGACAGCATAGCTAGAAATATAAATGCCACAGTAATTTGATTTGAGATGATATAGGAAGATCTCCAAGAGAACACATGTACGGGTACATGAGAATTAAGGTTTGGAGTATGTAATGGGCACAGTTTACCAATAGAACACTACATTTATACAGTTTTGTTTTTATGAAATTATGGATTATATCAATAATCTCCTAAAAATGATGTAAATTGAATTGGAAAATAAATATAATTTTTCTAAAATATCCACAATATTTTCTTTTGGCATCTAATATAATTTTCACAAAATATTTTGTGGTTTAGTTAATAAAAAATGGACAAGAAAAGACATATTTATTGAACTCTCCTTTGTTCCTAGACATTTAAGGGAAATAAATAGCACATATAAAAAACTGATCTTACCCTGAAGAGCTTGTAATTTGGTGGAGGAAAGAAAACAGCATACCAAAAAAATTAACTATATTCAAGGTAATATGTATTACAAAAATTATTTTTTCCTTATTTTTGTTCAATATTTGACAATCTCATCTCTAAAATATATCTTCAATCTGTTCTTTTCTTTCTCTGTGGAGGTCACCAATTATCTTTTACCTGAGCAATCTCCTTTCAACTGGTCCCTGTATTAAATATAATTTTTAAAATCTAAAAGTGGAAATAGAAGAGAATAAGATCCACACAAACGTTGGTGGGGATATCTAACCTAATTTGGGCTAAGAGAAAATAAGAAGGAATGCTATAATATTCTTCCCTATATAACTAGAAATATGCTGCATGTTTGCAAGTAAGTTGTCTACTAAACAGAAAAGAAACTAGAGATAATACAATCAGCAGTAATATTTTGGATGTTCATAGTACAAAGAAACTAACACTTCAGGAGAAAAGTGATTAATGCATTACATATTAAGGCAGAAACATGTAAAGAACTGATAAAGTATTGAAATATCCAAGAAAATGAGTACAGCTATATTAAATAAAAACTGAAGATCATAAAATAATACTTATGGAAATCTCTATATTTAACTAACAAGATATTAGTAGTGAACTTAGGGAAAATAGAATCAGTTCAGCAATTCAGCAAAAGCCAGACTGTAAAGAATTTAGGAAGAAAGGAGTTGAGAGAAATAAGAAAATATGAAAGAACTATAGAAGATTCAAGAGCAAAAAACATGGGGGAGTCCTGATTCTAATTTGAAGCATAAAGAGTACCATTATTCTTTACTTTTAAAATGCCAAGAAGAATAAGCACAGGTATTGCATTCAGTAGAAAGGACACATTTTAGAAGTGGGGACCCAACTTAAAAATGATAGAAAAAAAGTAACAACAGAAGGATGAAAAAAAAGTTTTATTTTCGAAATCCAATAGTTAATGGTTAATTCATTTTTTTATTGAACTCTGAATCTACTATAGGTTTTCAAAAAAAGAAAGGAAGTGAATAAAATACAGAATAAATTCTTTTTATATATAAAAATTGGTTTAAAAAATAATCTTCAATAGCTAACAAAACCTATATTATCTGTAATAATATAAATGCTGACAATGGTATTTGGTGTACTATGTGTTTCAGAAGGGATAAATTACCAGCAGGTTAAAGTCTCTGTGCAAGAAAGCACCATATTAACTGTAAAAGGTAAAATATACCTTTACTTCCCTCTTAAATTATAAACAAAGTAGGTGTGAAATATAGCAATTTTAACAGTGAGAACTGATGCAGTACTGTTAGAGTTTCTTTATGAGCTTAGAGTGGAAGGAGCCAACTACATTAGGAAGATTATCTTTGAATCTGGTCACATATTCAAAGGTTGAATTATTTTAACATTGAACATGAGTTGTTACTGATTAGATAGAACACAAAAGCACTAAAATAAGTCAATAATTTTGTCATCTGTATCCAAAAACCAGTTATGGAGCCAATTCTCATGTAAAATATGATTATATTTTGATCTACTGTTTCTCTAATCCAAACATGTACATAAATAAAATGACTATTATCACTGTGACAAATTGTTTTTTTTTTTTCAGTCTCTCATGCCAATTACTTTGTACCAGATTCTTGGAAAGGAGTCGAATAAATGTCTGCTAAATGTATGCATCTCGGACTCAAATTTTAAAAGCCAGGAGAAATAATTACAAAACAACATTTGAAATAAAAGAATAAAATAACAATATTCTCTACAAAAATATAACACTTTTGATTTTATATTATTTTTCTATAACTGGGCTGAATATTATATAAAACATAAGAGAATAACCTATAACTACATTTTTTACTTCAAACTGCTTATTATTTCATCAGAAAGATAAGGAATATAGAAAACACATAGGTGGAAATATAAAACAGTAAAATTAAAAATGTGGACACATATTTTCATGGAGAATATATTCTAGAAATAGAGAGGAGAAATAGAGAAAAAGAATATTTGAAAGACTATCCCCTTAAAGAAGAAATATTTGAGCTCATAGGTCTGAAAGAATACACAGGATATTTTGAGAAAAAGAAAAATACAATCTAAGCAGAAGAAACAAAATGAGAAAAGTTTATGATGTATAAGTTCTTAGCTGTCTGATAAAACCTGTGTGCCAGTTATCAGAAAGTCTTAAAAAGTGTAAAAACAGTAAGAAAAAAGCAAATAAAATAAATATACATAGGCAAAGGAATAAAACACTGTATATTAAAATGCTGTTACCAATATTGAACAAAAAACACTACTTTTGGATGAAGTAATATACATTCTTTTTTACTATGATATTTGATAACAGCTTGAACAATAGATCTAATGACTCCCATTATTGAAGTAATAGTGGTCTCCAAAACCTGAATATATATGATATTTTGAAATATCAGAACAAGTTTAACACGATGTGAATGTCTATTACTTCAATTGGAGACACACAGTTGCTGCTAATAAGTAGTATTAACTTACAGTGAGACATTAAAGAAAATAAAGGTAATATTTTCCCCCAAAACATCCATGGACCCCTTCAATTCTATCCATGGACTCCAAGTGTCCCACAGAATCAGTTAAGTCTCTGGAGAAGATATGGATATGCGGCACAGTAGCACTTTCTCCTGTTTAGTTTTGCAACATGCTCTAAGGAAGACATTGTTAAAATGGGCACTGATATTTGAAAGATAAGAAAACTGAGGCTCAAGCAGTTTTATGTAGCCTGCCTAATATCATGTCTATAATGAATGCCAGATGCAGGGTTAAAGTTCAAAGTCAGATTCTATAATCTCTATTCTTCCCACTATGGAATCTAATCTAGAGAATCATCAGAATGTTTTAAATGTACAGTTAGAAGATGAACACAGCCAGAACAAAGAGTTTATTTCAAGAGTAGAAAACATACAACTGGAAGTGTGGGCTAGGACCAGACTTTGGAGGGTTCTGAAAGCTTCAGAGAAAAATAAAAGTAAATGCTTTTGATAGTATGAAAAGAAGCCTTTCGGGAGGATGATGATGAAAGTAGCATTTCAAGAAGGAAGGAACCAATCTGAAGGACGGTGATTATGATACTGTAATATGCTTTGTCCAGAAGATTTTGGAGTAGGTCTAAAATTATACATTCAGGGCACCTGGGTGACTTAGTTTGTTAATCATCTGCCTTTGGCTCCAGTCATGATCCTAGGGTCCTAGGATAGAGTCCTAGTGGACAGTTTTTCTCCCTTTGCCCCCCTCAAACTCTCAAACGAATAAGTAAAATCTTTAAAAAAATAATTTAAAAATGACAAATTATACTTAAATGCCTCACTCAAACTTAGTCGAATCCTTTTATTAATTCTTCAAAGGTGTTTTTGGAGTATTCTCTCAAGATCTATTCTTAAATATACTGAGATACACGACACGGGAAAAAAAAATAAACAGAAAAGCACTTGTTATTCTTCAGTCTAGCAGAACACACATCTACTTACCAACACTTGTGCAACTTTCCCCATCCACATCCAGCTTCCACCCTTCATAGCATGAACACTTGACTGTGTGCTTGTGCTGCTCACACACTTGACTGCACTTTAGATGATTGCTACAATAATCTATAATTTCACACGTTTTATTGTCTTTGTTGAGCTGAAGTCCTTCAGGACAGGAACAGACAATTCCTCTTCCAGGAACAACAGAACAGTGATCGCTACAGCCTCCATTGTTCAGTGAACATTCATCTATAAAAGGAGGGGAACAGATTACAGGACATTATCAATTGTTTTGCTCGATTAAATACTAATCATTGAACTCAATTCTCTAAGGCTAGAGTTAGAGCAAGGATATTATAAATGAATAGAGAGAGCTCTCTGGATTTTTTTTTTTTTCAGGGATTGGGGTAGGAATGATAAAATAATTCATCGAATGACCAAATATAATTCTACATGATAGGAACTGGGAATGGAAGGTTTTCATTTCTGTAAAATTTTGGAGTATACTTTGTTTGACCCCATAGAGGTAAAGTGTGTTCAATGTTTCTTTCTATTATAACTGGAAAAATTATGCTGATCCTTTCAGCTGTTGAACAAAATCAGTTGCTAAGGGCTCTCTAAGGACATACATTGATGATCTGAAAATTTGGCTTGGTTCAGTGTATATAAACAGGCATATACATATACATGTATCATATTTATATATATATATATATTTCTACATCTAGTGTCTGATTCATAATGATAATGCAGGATGGATTAGTTTGCTCTTTACCAACTACAGTCATTTATTTTTAAGTTATGTAAATTGTACATTACACCCTATATATTGGTTATTGTGATTAATTCAATGAGGTCATGAAAACATCATAAATAATATACATATACACAAAAAAGTTGACTTGGTATTTGTACTAAAATAATGAGCAACCAGTATTTGTTACATGGATAGTATGATTGGTTTATAAAGAAAGAAGCCTTTTCTACCATAGTCTTATAATTTAGAATTGCATTACATATATTTATTTCTGATTCTATTTCATTATAAATTGTAAGGTCCATGAGGGTATACAAACTATTTGCTCTGTTTAGCAGTGTATATCCAATAGCTAGCACAGTGCCTACCATATAATAAACAGATAACAATATTTTTTTAATAAAAAAATGTCCAAATGCACAGTTACCCTCAAATTGAGCCACTACTTGTCCATTTGGGAAAATTTCAAGATGACCTACTTATGCCATTGATGAAAATAGCAGATAACTGTTTTTTTCAAGCACAGTACTACCTATTCCTATCTATTACTAGATACATAGGAATAAGGCTAAAAGAAGCTTTGCCTTCCTTCACTTTAAAAATATTTTTAAGTTGTTTTCAAAACCTAATTAGGTGTTTTTTGAGATATGCTAAAACAGAATGTTGTTCAATGATTGACAAATTGCAGTAATAGTCACTTATGTACCTCAAATATTTCCTGCTATCTATGAAAATTTATCTAGTTCAGAAATTGAGCTTAAGTATAACACTTTAAAAATACTTCTACGTTTTTTTAAGTTCTATATAGGTCAATTTTTCTTCATACTATTTGTCACCAGAAAAGAAGTTACAATAATAAGAAAAGGAAAATGATTATATTAACTATTTTCTCTAAGACTTCAAGTTTGGCATTATTTTAGAAGAAAAAAGTAGATTCATTTGGCTCTCCCAAAAATGTTTATTCACCCATATCATAGTCATTTCAAAACAATAGTCATTTTAAGGTATTTTCCCCATTTATTTAAAATGTCATTCTTTTTCAAGGGAATTACTGTAAAGAAGTATCATCATACCCAGGTGAAAAAACATTGTTATAGTTCTCTTAGCTTATTTCAAATATCACTGTTCTTCTGATACTATCAGTGGAATGAAGTCATAGATTTAAAAAAAAATAAAATTTACATTGATATCTAAAATTGAACATATAAATTTAATGCCAGTATTTGTGTGGCTAGTCCCTTGCTAATTCCTCCTTAACACTAAACATGTCATTATATCCTGAAACTTTCTTTCTTTTCTTTTTTTTTTTTTTAATTTTATTTATTTGAGAGAGAGAGAGAGAAAGAGCACAGGCAGGGGGAATGGAAGGCAGAGGAAGATGAAGAAGCAGGTTCATGGTAGAGCGCAGAGCCCGAAGCGGGACTTGTTCCAACCCTGGGATCATGACCTGAGCCAAAGGCAGATGCTTAACTGACTGAGCCAACCAGATACCCTAATCCTGCAACTCTCTTTCAAATTTTTATTACCTAAAAAGAATTTCTCATTGATCAGCTCTAGTCAGGTTCCTTGGAGACTTCTGGTCAACTAGTCCTCAAACTGGCTTATAAAAATTGCAGACCCTTAAGTATAAATAATTTCAATCTTCACTCCCTTCCCCAATCATATTCCTGTCACCACCCAAAAAGAGATTTCACCAAACATTAGCCTAGTTTCTAACTGCTTAGGACAGCCTTCCTAGTATGACTCCAGCTCTGTTAAAGTACCTGCTTGAAAGCTCTATGCTGGTAGGAGAATTTACCGCTTGCTCCAGCCAAAACTTGGTGATAGGCACACAGGCCCTGGAACCTCGTCTTAGAACAATTACTCTAAATAACTTGCAGTTATAATTATTTTCTCTGCACATTGAATATGTAATCTTCTACCTCTCAGAACTGTCTTTTCAAGGACTTGAGAAATATCTCTTTGAAATGCAAACATTCAAGAAGATAACTCTTTCACTCTTGCTCCCAACCCTGTGTGAGTGCTTGGTTTTGAGTTGTACCACTGTCTCTGGTCAAAGATATGAGAAATTTGTTTCTTCCTTGGGATAAGCACCAATGGCCTAGTCACATGGGTCAACACCCTTATCACCTTTTGGTGCCTTTCCCTTAACATACTCCAGGCTTCAAAATGCTTCTAGTCTTTTGTTTCAGAGAATTTGATTTCAGTTCACAAGAAATATTCTTCTCTGCAATAAATATTCTTCTCTACAAAATATTCTTTGCTGCAATAATAAATACTGAATAAAATCAATCCTCCCCATTTTACCTAGAGTCCAGCTTTGTTTATCTTTGACATACCCTCATAGCAAGGTTTAACAGTTAACTCTAGTCTTGAATAATACAAGATTTTTCTCATTTGTTTCTTAAACAATATCTATTTCTTAACGTATATCCATTTCCCCTTGAAATAATTTGAAAATACCCCTGAGAAAAATATCTTTTCACTAGGATTAAGAAAATTATTTCATTGTGTTCCTTTACTGATTTTTGTTTTGGTTTTGATTTTGTTTTACAGATCAGATTTATCTGGAGAAAACAAGAATCTCTTCACTAGCCAAAGAGTATGATTTTTCCATCCTAGGATATCTCCCAAGTATTAAGTCTACAGATTACAAATTATTTCATACAATATATTTTTGTACAAATTTACATGTATTGAGGAATAGGATATCAATCAATCCCTGTTACCTTTTTAACAGAGGATGGTAAAGGAGGGAACACTAAAAAAAATAAATAAATAAACAGCTTTTTTGAAAACTATTTCAAAGGAGTAAACAGAAGAGGGAAAAACCTACATTTTCATCATATACAACATACAGTTAAAACAAAACAAAACAAAACAAAACAAATAAACAAAAAACCTCTTTTGCCTTCGAGTCTCTCTCTCTCTCTAAAAAGAATTTCCTAGCCACTAGCCAAATGCATGCTAATTATTTAGTTAATTCACTTGGTATATCTTTTATATCCACTGGGAAAATAACTCATTATGGCTGCTGCTGCAGCACTCATAAACCAATATCTTTCTTAGCTGGACAGGATCTTACCTACGACTGATGGGCAAGGATCATGAAAATAAGAGACCAAGGTGCCATTTCTCTACAGGTACCAATATTGCCTATAAGGATTCCATCTACGGAACTACAGTACAAAGGTACACACAAAAGGTAGGAAAAGGAGAACCATAGAAAATAATTCAATCCTTTGACTAGTATTTGGTTTTGATTTTCATTTCCCTAACTTTCCTTCAACTTCACCTCGCAAAGGGGACAGTATAGGTCTTCAATATGCCATAATGCTATAAGCGGGATAGAACTGACTTTTATCCTTTCTGGAATGACCACACCTAGCTTTATTGTAACCTCTTTCACACCTATAATTCTTTGAAATGTTCGAGCAAAGTTCCTAAGCTGATGAATATAGTGGCTTGAGAGTAAGAAGCAAATTCAGTCTTGAAGCAAATAAAGAAATAAATGCAGAATAAATCCCTTTTGCTCTTTTATTTTATTAATTCAGAGAGCAGAGGACAGGAAAATAAGGCTGTGTTTTTATAACATTATTTTCATTTTTCTTGATGATTGTATTTTGTCTTCTTTGCCTTCATTTAACCTGAAGGTTGAGAAAAGATAATTTCTTTCAATACCTATAGTGCATCTGACATTATTACCATGATTTCCTGCTCAATATCATCATCTCCTTTTTTGTTATGAAGAATCTGACATTTCAAGAAATTAAGTTACCTGCCTAGATGATTTAATCGAAGTAACTGAAGAACAGAATTTAAACCTGTCAAAATCTCGATTTTTTCCTATATTTACACATTTTCAATTTTAAGAGTAAAGATAGTTTCCTTCTTTCAGAATTGCTCTTACAACCTTCACGAGCAATCCTCACATATGGTAATGCAAGAGATATTTCCACCCACCAATCTACTCCATAAGGGGAATAAGCTGGGAGAAAAAGAAGTAAATACAGATAAGCTAAGTCTGTTACCTTGTATTTGTTGCTTAATTTTAGGATTTTTTGGGGGAGGTGATGGGGGTTGAATCTTTTTGTTTAAATTTTAGCATCCCAGGGGTACCTGGGTGGCTGAGTCGTTTTGGCATTCTGACTTTTTATTTTTGGCTCAGGTCATGATCTCAGGGTCCTGAGATCCAGCCCTGTATGGAGCTCTGAGCTCTATGCTGATAGGGGTGTCTGTTTCAGATTCTCTCTTTGCCTCTCCTCTGCCCCTCCCCCTGTTCTCTCTCTCTCTCTAAAAATAAATGTCTTTATAAATAAATAAACAAATAAAAAATTTTAGCATGACTGAATGAAGATTGTTGCAGTTACTGTTTCAAGGGTATTTTATAGAATCACAGAATCTTTGGAAGAAAGGACACTTATTGCATAAATTTAAAACATAATAACAGATTTTTTTATCACTCAGTATTCTATTAGTACTCAATTCAGATCAAAATATGATAACTTTAGGCTTAAATGTAGTTGTCTTTTTTATTTTCAATTAGGTAGCTTCATCATTTCCTAAAGTCATTTTCTCAGTCCCTAGTCACCTCATTATTGTTCTTATCATTCTGTTAAACCCTTCCTCATTACTCTATCGATAATCACCTTCAGTATTATGTATTATCTAGAAAACATATTTTGAAAATCTCCTTGCTAAATGTCTGATCTCCCCACAGAGAAGGAAATGTAATTTTCTTTATATGTTCTGGTTGGCATAAAATGATGACTAGTCAAAAGTGATTTCAAAGCTCAAAAGCTATCAGATTGAAATACTCACTTTAACTAGATATAGCATGCCCAAGAAAGCTATTCTAAGAGGACTAAAAACCTCAGAGAAAATTATATAAACTTGAATAATATTCAGTTGGTTTTATTGTTCATTTTCTTCCTTTCCTTTCCTCTTTTTAAAAAATTATTTCTAGTGTAATGATTGGAATGTATGATAAAATCCACTGGATGTTAGTATACTCTATCGCATAGGTCCATAATAAAAAGGTTCTCTTGTTGAGAATGACTCACTGACAAAAAAATAATGATTTCATTTTGGAAACAACATTAACCATCCAGAGCTCTAAGTGATGAGCACAATTATACAATTAAGTTAGTTGGCTATAGTCCGCCTTTTCTGCTTTGTTTTCAGAAATTTCTGATAATATTTTAGAAACTTTCAACAGACTTACAGTCCCTGAAAAATGGAGATAGGATTTGATGCTAAACATTACATTTAAAGGAAATAAATGGAAGGAGCGTATGCTACTATAAGTATCAGCAAGTGGACTAAATGTTTCTAGTCTCCAGAAAGAAACAAATCAGTGAAACATGCAATACCACAGAGATCGCCTTCATCAGACCCATCTGGACAGTCCCTTCTCCCATTGCAGAGTTTCTCTGGCTGAAGGCAGGCTGAAGTGTCATTAGCACAAGGGTACTTAGGTGGTCCACATAAAAAACTGTCACAATCATCTTCATCTGACTGATCTTCACAATCAATATCTCCATCACATATCCATGCTTTGTTGATGCATCTCCCTTAAGGAAACAGAAACATCATCCATTTGATTGTTGTAATTAAGTCACTGTCATAATGAATAGTCATTACCATCTTCAGTCAGAGGCAGAACTATGTGTTATTACCAAGAAATCTATTTGCTGATAGTCTGACAGTTTATTTTCATGACTATTTGAATAGGTCTCACACTCCAGTTAAAATGATCTTAAAGTTAAAGCCATGATATTTTCCTTGGTTTCAAGTTATTGTCTAAAATAACTTGTGGACTAATTGAAAGCTTCATTATGATACTTAAAAAAAAACAAACAAACAAAAAAAAAAAAACCCACTAAACAAGCATTTGTATGTAAGTCACTTTTAGAGACCTAAATTCAGGTACATGTTATCTGTGATTTTGCAGCCCTAAATTAAAGCAAATGTTTTATTTCACAGGAGAATAGGTCCTTCTGTTTACATTTATAAGCCAAAGACCTTAACTATTCCTCACACCTAGACATGTGTATTCCATTTCATAAAATATAAATGTTATTAAACATCTTGATAGCTAAGGTATATACAGACAGGTGTTATTGAAATATGCTTTTCTTTATTGACTTTGAAAGGGAAAAAATGATTATTGTTTAGCTAGCAGTTTTCAAAAGTAATAACATGAAACACAGAGAAAGCAATGGCCACTTTATATGTCAATCTTTTTTCACTCTAAAATTTTCCAGAATGGTTACATTTTTCTTCTAACTAATTATCTTTTCTGGATTATGCAATGTTAAGGTATAATGTAAATAAAAAATGGACTTGAAGATAAATACTGGTTATTAGCTGACTGTATACCAACAACTCATAAAAGGAGTAGGGCAAATGAAAGGGAAAAGAAAAATACTAGGTTGTATGTGTCAGAGTCTATATATTCAGATGTCTATGTCAAACTTAAGGTTACTAAATTTTAAAATAATCAAAATATTGGTGAAAAGATGTTTCATTTGCAGAAATACATAAATAATTTTCCATGCTATGAAGTCAAATGAGAAAAAAAAGCACAAATCATCAGTTCCATAGTTAATATAAATACATTTCATAATCAAGATTAGTTACTGATGAAAACATTCTTAAAATAAGAAATGATGGGGCACCTGGGTGGCTCAGTCCGTTAAGCAGCTGTCTTAGGCTCAGGTCATGATCTCAGGGACCCAGGATCCAGCCCCACCTCAGGTTCCTGTTCAGCAGTGAGTCTCCTTCTCCCTCAACCTCTGCCTGCTACTCTGCCTACTTGTGCTCTCTATTTCTCTGTCAAATAAAATCTTAAAAAAAAATGCTGGAGATTTCACTGTTAAATTATATAAATGGAGAAACATTATAAGCTTTGCCTTTATATCACAAATAAAACTAATAATGTTATTATTTATATTATCCTGGAAATACTATATAATATAATTAGATAACAGAAATAAGTGAGGTATAAAATTAGAAGAGTATCATTACATGCAGTTAATATAATCAAATAATCATAAAATCAAAAAAACCTAAAAATTATAAGAAATTAAGAATAAAAAAGATAGCTAGTTTCAAAAATTATACAGGAATCTGTAGGTTTTATGTCTCAATAGACTATAATAGAAGATGGATTTAAAAATCTATCATAAAACAAAGTATTTAGGTTAACTATATAAGAAGTATAGAGAATGTATATGCAGAAAATTAAAAAGTGTACAAACAAAACCAAAAGAAGTCTTGGATAAAGAAATAGTTTGGTCTTAGAGAAGCTTTATAGCTGTAAAATACTTTCACCAAATTAATCCCAATAAAATAGTAACAATATTATTACAATCCTATAAGCTTATCCTAAATTTAAGAAAATAAGAATGCAAATAACATTTGGAGTCTTCACAAAAAAGAGAAGAAATTTATGAGTGGGACTGTAAATGCCAACTATTTAGAAGTATTTTTAACTGACAATAGTCAAAATATTTTTAACAGAATATCAATCAACACATCAACAATTGAATAGGATAGAAATATCAAATACTCATCTACCTGGTATATGGTTTTAATATACAAAATTGGCTATTCAAAATAGTACAGATAATGGAATTACAAAATTGGTGATGTAAGGAACACTGCTTAGCCACCTGGAGGGGGAAAAAAAATGCTGAATCTTAATCCTTACACTAAAACATATTCTAAGTGGATCAAAGAAGTAATCATTTTATTTTATTTTTTTAAAGATTTTATTCATTTATTTGACAGACAGAGATCACAAGTAGGCAGAGAGGCAGACAAAGAGAGAGAGGGAAGCAGACTCCCTGCCAAGCAGAGAGCCTGATGCGGGACTCGATCCCAGGACCCCAAGATCATGACCCGAGACAAAGGCAGCAGCTTAACCCACTGAGCCACCCAGGCGCCCAATCATTTTAAAAGAACAATGATAAATGCATACACATTCTAGAACAAAATAGATATGAAAACAAAACAACAAAGACTTGAAATAGTCATTACACATATCCAGAAAATATGAAGAACAAATCTGCAATCTCATAAATACATTTGATTCCACATTGCAACAATATAATCCCACTATAAATTCAACACAAAGGTGGTAAACTAGAAAAATTTTTATTATATGTGAAAAAGGGACTTTCTTTCTTTAAAATATAGAAGGGCTATTACAAATAAATAAAACGAAGATCAAAAAAAAACAATACAATTGTAAAATTAATGAATCAACAATGACTTACAAACCTATGATGACCAAAAATATCTTTTAATGAAAAAGCTAAAAGAGCAATTTGATATAATTTTTTTCCTCTGCCAGATTGGTTTGGGTTAAAAAAAAAGAATACTAGAAAGAGATTTGACAAGATTGTAAGCAATATCCGCAATATTGAGGGGGCTTCAAATCAGAACAATCTGTCTAGGGCAATCTTACAAAATCTAACAAATAAAAAATGCATTAATTCTTCACCAGAGTAATTCTAATTTTATATGTTTTCTTATTAACAGGTTTGCCCAATGCACAAGGATGCACTATAAAGACATGTGTTGCTGCTTCCTATATACTAGGAAAAGACTGAAAACAGCTTAAACCATTATTGCAAAACTGCTGACATCAATTACAATGCATCCATGTACTGAAATTACACAGTTGAGTGAAAAAGAATGACAGAATTCTACTCAGGTAATCTAACACAATATCCAAACAGGAAGCAAGATGGCAGAGGACCTGAAATGACATCAGGTCCCAGGAGTTCAGCTAGATAGTTATCAAGCCATTCCAAACACCTACAAACTCAACATGAGATAGAAGCAGCAATTCTAGGAACAGAAAATCACCCATTTTCTGGAGGTAGGGGTTTGGAGAAGTGAATCTGAAATGATGGGAAGATGGAATGCAGGGGGAGGAGCCAGCTTCTGGCAAGTGATTGAGCAGCAGAACACAAAATCAGAACTTTTAGAAGTCAGCTCCCCTGAGGGAAATCACTCCAGAAGCTAAGCAGGGGTGGAGGCCTCGCAGGGACAGTGTGGTCTCAGAACCCACAGGGTCACAGAAAGACCAGGGGCATCTGAGTGTGGTAGACTTCCCAGGTATCACAGTGGGGAAGCCAACTACAAAGATGGAGCCAAGGAGTTACCTTAACCCGTGATCCAAGTCACAGTTGGGCCACTGCTCTTCGAGCAGGGACCCCACAAGTGGCAGATCTGGAGAGACCCCCTTCATCTTCCTCTGGGAGGAGTGGCATGGGGGTGAGTGGCAGCAATCTGCTGGGTTTGGACACTCCAAACATGTCTGTGCATCAGAAATAGAAACACAGTCACAGGCCAGGTGGGCTCAGAATGTGGCCAGAGACCAGGGAGATGGGAGGAATTGACTGCTTTTCTCTGAGGCCGCACTGAGGAGTGGGGCCCTGCGCTCTCAGCTCACTCCATCTGGAGACTGTGAGGCCACCATTTTCATTTCTGTCGTACAAAGCTCTATGGAAAGTGCTTAGGAAACAAAAGATACTGAGAGTGAACCCAAGTAGATTACTTGTCCTGGCCCCTGGCAAGGGCAGTGCAATTCTACCTGAGGCAAAGACATTTGAGACTCATTGCAAATGGCCCCTCCCCCAGAAGATCAGCAAGAACGTCCAGCCAAAACCAAATTCAATGAGAACAGTGGAACTCTAGAGCTAGGGGAAAGCAACACACAGAATTCATGGCTTTTTTTCCATGATCCTAAGTCTTTCAAAGTTAAATTTGTTAAATTTTATTTTTTTTCTTATTCTATTTTTAAAATTTTTCCTCTTTCCTCTTTCAACATTTTTTAACTAGTTTATCTTAACAATACCTTTTTTTAAAAAAATATTTTTAAATCTTCATTTTATGGTCATATTTTATCCCTCCATTGTATTTAACTTTATTTTTTGTATACATATAGGGTTTTCTTTTAAAATTTTGGGATACAATTTTTTCTAATAGATTAAAATATACCCTAAATCTAGCACATAGCTTTGTTCTAGTCTCCAACCTGAGCAAATTCTCTCCTCTTTATCCAACCAACTTATCAATTCCAGTTTTAGAATTTTTTTTTTAATTTTCACCTTACAGTCATATTCCATCTCTTCATTATGTTCACCCTTATTTTTGTATATATATATAAGTTTTTCTTTCTTTAACATTTTGGGAGGTAATTTCTTCTAAGAGACCAGAATACATCCAAAATAAAGTAGGTGGCTCTGTTCTATTCACCAGTATAATATATATTTCTTTTTTTTTTTAATTTTTACTTTTTAATTTTTTTATTTATTTTTTTCCCCCTTTCTTCTTCCCCCAGTTTTGGGTCTCTTCTGATTTGGTTACCATATATTTTTGGGGGATCTTTGCCACCCTTTTAATATTTTATTCCCTCATTCATATATTCCTATCTGAATAAAATGACAAGATGGAAAAACTCACCACAAAAATAGAACAACAGGCAGTATCAATGGCTAGGGACCTAATCAATACAGACATTGGTAATATGTCAGAACTAGAGTTCAGAATGACGATG